AATAGTGTTCAACTGCGAGAACTGTGAAGGGCATCCAAAAATCTTTTATGTCTCCTTCCTATTTCACAATTGATTCGGAGATGTGTTTCACATTTTTACCTTGTTGAAATAGTCAACCTTTTTTCGGTATCTTCCCTGCAGAACTTCTAGGATATATTGATACCTAGATGAATGTATTTCTTCCTTTTACCAGCACATTTCCTTGACACAAGATGTCACACAACCCCAAAGCATAATAGAACTTTTGTTGAGTCCTTGATGATTTCTGAGCTGAGTTGTATGCTTGCAGACTACCTAACTAGGTAACACCATCAGTGCTAATGAGGGTAGGGTTTGCTTCCTATTTATATACAGTAGCTTGGCCTGCCAGTGTTGATGCAGTTCTCCTTGGTAGTTCTTTCAATTGGCAAGATGGTCTTTTCTTCAAACTTATCTGATTGTGGCCAAACATTTCAATTTGAATTTAATCAGATCAAATCATTTCAGACTTATTGAAGTTTTCTTTTGTATATTTTAAACAACTTCTGTAATAAGATCAGAGAGGGAAGGAGGAAGGGAGGTGAGAGAGAGAGAGAGAGAGGAGGGAGGAGGGAGGGAGACAGAGAGATTGAGATTCTCTCATGCAGTTCGTTGTTTATAGGCAGTGTTGTACTGTGGATCTACAGACATATACCACAATGCCATTACACTTTTGAACAGGTTGTTGAAGTGATCTGTGGATTCTGCTTTGTAGATCTAACTAGATTTCAGGTAGCTTTAGTAAAGATTTCTCTTAATCTTCCAGATCTTGTCTTGTCTTGATTTCAACTGTTCAGTATAACTTCAATTTCTTAACTCTGTCTGTCACAGCTGAAATTGCTAGCCGGAAGTCTTTAGAAAATTATTTACGCCCTCACCCTGTTTTGTAAGAGTGAATTATCTTCATTTTGATTATGTAGGGATTGTGTCAGCTTCTATTCACTTAAGGATTCATTGAAGTGTAAAGTTTGACCAGGGGTGCCTAAACTTTTGCATCTAACTGTAAGCCTGACAGTCATGCTGTTGAACAGTTCCTGTTTTGACAAATCTAGCTGCCCCTGAGGGCATTTTACTCAATCCATTCCTGCTCTCTTTTTCCTGGGCTCTTCCATCCAAAGACACTTCCTTGTTTGAACTCCCAGTACTTTTCTTTTATGAAATATTCTCCCCCTTTTTCATGTAGAGGAATATGACATTAGCTTGTTAGCAGCTGTATATAACAACCATTTAACATCTATCCACTTTATACCAATCTACTCAATTTGGAGCCTGAGTAGAGTAATCAAATGCTTAATCTTAGCCCCCAAAGTTCAAGTAAGCCTACTGTAAGCCTTCTTTAGGGGACGCTGCGGGTCAGTGGCTAAGACACTGAGCTTGTCGATCAGGTCGGCTGTTCAGCGGTTTGAATCCCTAGCGCCGCGTAATGGAGTGAGCTCCCGTTACTTGTCCCAGCTTCTGCCAACCTAGTAGTTTGAAAGCATGTAAAAAATGCAAGTAGAAAAATAGGGACCACTTTGGTAGGAAGGTAACAGCGTTCCGTGCACCTTCGGTGTTTAGTCATGCTGGCCACAGGACCACGGAGACGTCTTCAGACAGCACTGGCTCTTTGGCTTAGAAACGGAGATGAACAACGCCCCTAGAACTGGAAACAACTAGCATGCATGTGCGGGGGAGCCTTTACCTTAAGCCTTCTTTAGTTAAAGCTAAAACAACTTCTCAATATAGGTAGTCCTCAACTTACGACCACAATTGAGCCCAAAATTTCTGTTGCTAAGTGAGACATTTGTTAAATGAGTTTTGCCCCATTTTACGACCTTTCTTACCACAGTTGTTAAGTGAATGGCTGCAGTTGTTAAGTCAGAAACATGGTTGTTAAATAAATGTGGCTTCCCAGTTGACTTTGCTTTGACAAAAGGTGATCACATGACTCCGGGACACTGCAACCGTTATAAACATGAGTCAGTTGCCAAGTGTCTGAATTTCGATCACGTGACCCTGGGGATGTTGCAATGATTGAAAGTATGAAAAATGGTCATAAGTCACATTTTTCAGTACTGCTATGACTTTGAATAGTCACTACACAAACTGTTGTTGTAAATAGAGGACTAACCGTAACTTCATGAACTCATCCGTTGCTTTCTTGGCAACAATACTGAAGTGGATAGTCACTGTCTTCTTTCAGGCTACTCTCCTGATAGCATAGGATTTTTTAAAACTTCAACAGAGAACTGTTGAAGTTGTTTTATATTCTTGATCTCAAAACAAAATTCTTTCTCTGTAAGACAATCCATTATCTATATCATATTTTATTTCTTGACTTTATTTCCTTTCTATCTCTGTTTTTAAAAAAAAAATATTTATTTTGTTTTCCAAAATTTCCACTTTGACTTTGATTTGGCTCTGCACTCAATTGACCTGCAGATTTTTCAAAATTATTTTTCATCCCTTCTTTTATCTCTTCATTCAAATCTCTTTTGAATTGTGTAGTCACATAAAATTTATGGATACTGTTATTGTAACTGTAATGTTCTTTCCCAACTCTTCAAAAATATTTTGGAATGTCTCAAGTGTAATAACTTTTTCTGTCACTTCTGTACATTTCACTACTTTTCTAATAACAGCCATTTAATCAAGTACAGGTAAGAGAGGATCTGTCTCTCTCCCTCTCTCTCTCTCTCTCTCTCTCGCTCCCCCCCCCTTTGCCTTTCTGAAGTCCTTAAGTATTTGGTATCTTTTGCCACTTGTAATTCTATGATCACATAGTCTACCTGAAGTATCCTTTATCTCTACTTTGCCATTAATCATATCTTTGGTAAAACTCTATAAACAATTTGCATTTCCATGAAGCATTATTTGATTCATTTAATTGTTTCAAAAACACCTTAACAAAAATCATGTCTCAAATTTAACTAGCCCCTTAGTCCATTTTAAACTTTCTTAAATTAAATTCTAACCCAAAATTTTTGCCTGGTAAAATTATTTAGTTTATTATTTTACTCTTTTCTTTAATGTTTAACCTTTTTTTAAATCTTTAATCTGGAATAAAGAGTGTTTTTGGTTTTCCAATGTTCCAGAGATCTCTTTTAGCTGTAAAATAGCTATAATCCAAATATGCTTAAGAAAGTGAGATTTTAGGGGACCTAGTTTCCTTAAAGACTCCACTGCAGGTGTGATTTTATTGACTTTTCTCTGACCCCATCTCTCAGACTCTGGGTTCCAAGGAGAAGCTGTCTGAAGCATAAGTGGATGAACTCTTGTTCTTTCCTTGTGCAGAGAGGCTCTTTTGGCCCGGGCTTCTCATCCAGCCATTGGTCTCCACTGCAGTATTATCACTGTCCTTCAGAAATGTCTTAGTCTGCCATTGCCTGACCTGTAAATAATTTACTTAAGCATATTTTTGACTGAAGGCCAGGTTAAAAATTTTATAAAATAAATAGCATAACATGCCCTGATTTGTTCTTACATCATGTTTAATATATTTGTACAGAACACTCTTCTTTTTCTGTTACAGCCACTTCATCAGGAATGGGTAAGAGGTACTTTGCATGTAACCAAAGGTCTAAGAACTGCACTATTAAAATTTGATGGGCTGAAATTTTTCTTTCCTTTTTATAAAACAGATAGAGAACAGGTATGCCAGGTGCCTTACATTTTTTGCTTTAGGATTTTAAGAAAAATTATTTTAATAACATTCAGATTTTGTAACATTGCTGTGCCCAATACAACCCCGAAAAGCATTAAAAAGTGGAACCCCTTTTGGGCTCAACTTGGGCTCAGGTTATATGTGGACACCCCCACCCCCCATACCAATCCCTCCACTTTTTAAGATGCCAAGAAGTGCTGAGTACCAGCTTTCTACTCTCAAGGAACTAATGATCTTCTGGACTCTGATTGAGAGCTGTTACTTTCAAGCCCTTTGAATAAGTCTTCACCACCAAGGGAATGATAGTCTTCTACCCTCTAAATGGAGATTGTCAGTTTCTCCCATTTGGGTATTATTGTCACAGTGAGGTACTGGTCATCTTCTGCCTGTTGCATGGAACTAACATTTCCTTCCCTTGGGGACAATGACTTATTCAGACATGCACACAAGTGTACATATATATACATGCTACATTTTATCACTCTGGCCATCCAATTTGTATATGTACACCTAGATGATATTCCCCTTTGTTCTTTTCCAAGAACCAAACCAGGATTAATCTTTTGTTCCTTTTCTGAAGCTCAAAACTGTTTTTCATACAGTGAATCATTACTATCTCTGTCTGAAGGTCCGCTAATGGTTATTAATTGTTCTATACCTATCAATGGGAAAGGATAGGAAAGAGAAGACAGCATAGGAAAGGGAGAAGAAAGGCAACAGGGTGGGAAAAATCATAGACCCATAGGGCTGGAAGGGACATTGTAGGGAGGGGTCCTTATTCCATTCCAGGCAAATAGTTGTCTAATCTTTGTTTGAAAACCTCCAGCAATGGAACACCCACAAATCTGGCAGGCAAGCTGTTTCATTGATTAATTGTTCTCACTGTCAAGAAATTCCTCCTTTAAAAAAAGCTTAAAAAGGAAGCTTAAGGGAAGCTTCCCTTAAGAGAAAGGGAAGCTTCTTTAGTCAAACTGGAAGCAAATGTCTCCTATGGCTTGTAGTTGATGTGTTCAAAGACAGGGTTGGATGAAAGAGAAGAGAACTCTCCTCTCAGTTTGCAGCATCTTCCCTTCCTTTTAAAACTCTTAAACTACAATTCATTTTCTATTTGACAATTTTGCCTTCTAATTGGTTCTTTCACCAAAGTGGGAACGGTGGATCTTTGAGCTCTCAAAAACTATGCTGAGGTAAAGCAAAGATTCAAGCTTTGAGAATGGCCTCTTCCAGCAAAAGACTTCTTGGCTCATCTTCGGCTGAGATAAAATACATGTACTCCTGCGTTAGCCACGTTTTCTTCTTAAAACACAAACATTAATATTTTTATTTCTCTTTCTTTTAGGTTCAGCCCAGCTGTCCTTTGCGAAGGTCCCATATCTTGAAATAAACAACTGTAATGGACCCAAAATCATCCTCCCTTGTGTGGTAACTAATCTGAAAGATAATAGCAGTATGGCAATGTTTGTGTCATGGCAATTTCAAGGAAATCAATTTTTCAGTTATGATGGAGTTAATGATAACATTACCAAAAACAATAGTTTTAATACTGCAAATTTTCTGAACCGCTCGATGATACCCTACGGCATTGTTTCACTTTCTGTGTCGACAAAGCAGGCTCGTCTTGGAAATTATACTTGTGAAGTAACAGAAGGAAACAGAGAAGGAAAAACAAGAGTTGAACTGAGAGAGAGTTCAGGTAAGTTACTTGTTTAGATTTTCTGTGGAATCCATTGAAATTTTGGTTTTTAAAATCTATCCATTAACTATTCAGATGTTGGAGAAGATCATGTGATCATCAGAAGAATACAGATGTTAGGCTTGGCTTAATATAGCTAGTCCTAATTTGGGTTTATCAATCGTAATATCCCTTTCCCTACTATGCTCAGAATATAGCAGGCACCTCCTATGCTGGGTTTTTTTGGATCCAATAGGTCTATAAACACTACCTCTAATGGATTTCTGGTTTTAAAACCATTAACACGGTTTGCTGGTGTTACCCTACTTTTTTGCTGACTACAGGCATTGCAATTCAGATATTTACTACATGCTTGTAGTTTTATCCCTTCAGATAACTGAATTGTTTCCTTTAACATTCTGAAATTTAAATGCCCAAGTCTCCGGTGTAACAGATGAATACATTCATCATGTGGTTTAACATTCTTATAAACAGACTTAGATTTAGCCATCAATACTGGGTTATCCCTTAAAACAAATAAATCATTTTCTAAACTTGCAGTAACAACCTTGCTATCTTTCTCAATAAAACACTTATCATTTTTAAATGTTACTGTAAACCCAAATTGCAATAATGATTTAACAGATAATAAATTGAATTTTAACCCAGGAATATATAACATAGGCAATGGTTCATTGCTAAATGACCAACGAGCAACACCCTCTCCAGCTACCTTAACCTTCCAGCCATTTGCTAGTTTAACATGTTGGTTACTCTTCTCCGTTTTAACAAAAATTTTTCTATTCCTAGAAATAGATTGAGAAGCACCACTGTCAACAACCCAACAATCCTGGTTAACATCAGTAGTTGAACTGGATGTAGCCAAATTACAACCCTTCTTGGGTCTAGTATTGTTCCTAACAGACATTTTCTTATTCTTACAATACTTAGCTATATGCCCTTTAGCCCCACAAGCAAAACAAGGTTTTACAAAATAGGCAGTTGAATACATTTTTTCTTCTTTTGGTTGTTGCACTCTCAACTGATCCCTTTCTTGCCTTCTTTTGGATTCTTCCAATAATCTACCGGTTGTGCCAGCCAATGTCAGTTCATCTCTGGACAAAACCTCTAACGAAGAAACATAGTCATCATAACTATCATCCAATGAAGAAAGAATTATATAAACTTGTTGTAGTTCTGAGAAAACAAGTTCCTTTTCATGCAGCTCCTGAAAAATTCTGGTCATGGATTCCAAATGAGCCATCATATCTCCACCTTTAAGAAGATGTTGTTTAAATAATCTCCGTGTGAGATAAATATGAGCACCCACAGAGTCACGAACATATAGTCTCTTCAACTTGGTCCAACACCTAGCAGTAGACTCTTCGCCACGAATATGGACAAGCTGCTGGTCACCCAGTGTTAGTCCAATAATGCAAAGAGCTCGTTCATTGTCTCTGTTAAACTTGGCTAATATCTTCACATCTTCCTCATCAGCAGGATCCCATGCTGTTACATCCGGTGGATTATTAACTATGTCCCACAGTCCTTCTCTACGCAGAAGTAGACTACATTTTGCAGACCAGGATACATAGTTTGTTCCATCCAGCCGGCTTATCATGGAAAAATTTGCTGCTTGTTCTAGTGCCATCTTCACTTGGATTGTTTATCACAAACACAGTTTGTTCTATTCACATTAACTCTCAGTTTAGCTCTTAATCCTAGTTAGTTCTGTTTGGCTCTGGGCCCATAACCAATGTTAAGGATATTGGTGTTGTGTTACCAACCAGCAGAGTAAATGCACAAGGAAACCCTGCTGAGAGCAATGAATAAGAGTTATGCAAACTGGTTTATCAAAAGCTTACTTTATAGTAGAAAAACAGTCTCATAGTCTTTAAACCAATTCCAAGTCTTTGCCATTCAAATCAGTCCAGTAGTTACAGATATCTTCTTTACCAAACAAACAGTAGTTGGTTAGAATAACAAACTCACTCTGGTTCACAAACCAAGATGGTAGCAAATCCATCCAACGATGATAGCAGATAGCAACTCCTCACACTATGGCAGCATATCATAGCAGCTTCATACACAATGGCAGCATATCATAGCAGCTCCGTACACAATGGCAGCATATCATAGTAGCTTCATCATAATGGCAGCATATCATAGCAGCAACTGAACACGTTACAATACCTTGCTTAAATACTCTCACAACCAGTCATTACCTAATTACAGCATGACTCAGCATTAAAGCCTTAAAAGTCACACAATACATATTCATATTAAAGTCACAGTACACATATATTGCCTGGACAACTATGAGAAGTATATAAAATAGGCAGAGTAAGGTGATTTTTTTTTCTCCTTCAAATCTCACAATTTCTACCACTCCATATCCATGAGTAGGACAGGGAAGTAAAGAAGTGTAAATAAGAGAATCTAAAATTTTGCAATTAGGGCAAATTTGGTAGTTTCATGGTGGAATACAATTTACTTTTCAGGTGGTGATTGAGAAATAGTTTTCATAGCTCTCCTGTATGCGTTCCTAAGGCTGTGAGAGAGGGCAAGGAGAAGGTGGCTTGAGAAGCTGTTGAAATGTTAAGAGTCAAAACTTCTTGTCTGTCTTGTAGCACCAAATAATGTTGCCACAGGAAGGACTTTTAGCTTTTTGCTGTAAAAGAAGGACATGCAGACTGTTTTGTGCATATAGTAATATCCTTTTAGAGGACATTACTATACTCTGCTTGAAAAGTCTGACTTTGCAGTCTTAATCTGCTACTTTCTCTGGCCTGAGTCATGATGTCTAATAATAGATCAATGGAATGAAGATTTGCATTTAATATAAACAGGTAAACTAACAGTGGTGGACAAAACCTCTAACCCAAAAATATAGATTGGTTGGTTCTGAAATGTTCTTCTCCCCTTGGAGAGTTGATCAGAGTGGAATCATTAGTAAATCATACAGAAAAATAATTGATACCAGAGTGCTCTCATATAAGGTTTTTCCACTTCTTCATCTTCAAGTATTTGCTATGCCAAACTTTAGCTGTCCCGAGTCCCTTTGGAACTGTAAAGAACCATGAAAACTTTCACTGAACAATGGTGATTGTGAAGGCATTTCATTTCATGTCATGAAGGCTTGAAAATAGAGGTAAAATCTAATTGTTAGCTAAGACTATCCCATGCCATTTTTCAATAAAATTTAAAAAACCATTTTCCCCCATAAGTCAATAGGAAGAAAACTTTCTGGTAAATGTTGAAGTAAATCTGTTGGATAGGGGAAATGGTGTGGGTAAATGCCATGCTATTATACTCATTCGTATAATTTTGCAGCCATATTTTAGAAATGCAAAGAAAAGCCAATTAAAATGCCCAGCAAATACAAACTCTTCTCTGTAGAAAACTCTGATAAAAATATTCAACCAGGGAGCTGAAGATTAACCCCATCATAGACACAATATTCTCCAGATATTGTTTTCAGTTACTCTAAGCCTAAAGGTGAAATAATTGAGGAAAAGGGATACACATAATTGAAAGAATGAATGAGGTTCAGTTCTTTCATGATTAAGGTAAGATGAAATTATAATAGGATGTATTGGACATAGTACGTTGGACATTCAGGACGAATGTGTACCTTAGGACTGAAAGGAGAAGAACTGAATTGAATGAAAAAATTTGCAGGTTTGAAACTGAACGCTATTTTCAATGTATTTCCCAAGCAAATCAATATTTTTGAGAATAATAAAGTCAGATGTTTTAAAAATAAGTATTACTATATGAAGAAAATATATAGAGACGTGTATTTTTCTTAAAAGATTGGAATATATTGAATGGGTAGAGAAGGATCAGAATGAAGGAAAATGGTAACTAATGATACTTAATTATGTGATCAAATGCAGTTCTGCACAATAGTGTAATTATCATTGGAATAGTTATGAAAATGGATAGGCTAACTTTTGAGAGAACCAGTCCACCAATTACGATTAATAATCATAAGAAATAAAAGCTCTTTGTTCATAAATTTGTTTCTTTATATAATCATCCATTTGCTCCATTGAGTCTTTATATCTTTATTTCACTTTTGACTCTTTGTCATATGATTTTAGCATAATTTTGGAATATTATCTAATTTACATGCGGTACAATCTGTGTTAAACATCTTAAATGATTCTTAATGTTAGAATCTAATCCTAACTCTATATAAGACCAGAAATAAATGACCTACAGCTGGATGTTTCTTAAATTTCTAATATTTTTGAGTGCACTTGTAAGGTATCTATGTGCATGTCCAAGGAAGGACTGCTGCACCACACTGCAGGGAGGCGGAACCGACCAGGTGGTTCCGCCCCAGGCACCTGATGGATCCTGATAGGTTCCAGAGGGAGCTTGGGCCAGTTCCTGAAACTCTGGCTCATGACTCGGCTGAAGATCTGGTGGCTGCCTGGGATAGGACGGCCGCCGGTGCTCTGGACTGAGTCGTGCCTTTGCGGCCTCTGACCCGACGCCGAACCTGCCCGGCCCCTTGGTTCTCCGAGGAGCTGGGGGAGATGAAGTGCCGGAAAAGATGCCTAGAGAGTGGTTGGAGGGCTAGTCGCTCCGAATCTGACCGAACACTAGTTAGGTCTCATATTAAGACCTATCTAGTGGCGATAAAAGCGGCAAAGCATAACCACTTTTCCGCTCTTATTGCATCGGCAGATAACCGCCCAGCCGCCTTGTTTAGGGTGACTCGCTCCCTCCTACATCAGGGAGCGCGGGAAGACCCCTTGCAAGGGCAGGCTGAGGATTTTGCACAGTATCTGCACGATAAAATCGCTCAGATTCGGGAAGGCTTGGACTCTGACTGGGTAGATCCTGGCAGGGTGACTGAGGCTGGTCTTGAGAATGTTATTTGGGACGAGTTCGACCCTGTGACTCCTGAGGACGTGGACAGGATCCTGGGGAGGTTAAACGCAACCACATGTTTATTGGACCCGTGCCTCTCCTGGCTGGTACTGGCCACCCGGGAGGTAACACGAGGC